CTTTTAAGATTGAGGGAATGCAGAGCATATTGTGGAAGTTCAGTGCATTTTTTAATACTGGGGTTTTAAAGCCTTGTTGATAGGGAAGGGCTTCAAATTGCCTGGAAAATGTGAATGGTGCTAAGTTGGAGTTTTTTTGTGGTTTATTTGGGACTTGTTTTCTCTGTATAGTTCAGATATGAATAACTTGGTAGGCCTTGGGATGTTTGTGTTTTTCTCATTCATTCATTTCATAATAATATGTAGTCTCTCTTATAAGCATATCATTGTGCTATGGACAAATGCAAATGTTTCAACCTGTGTGTTGCCCTTTAAAAGCAAGAGAAATAAATGTTTTTGTTAGGTATAGCACACAAACTGATTCTAAAATTCATATGGAAAGACAAAGGACCCAGAATAGCCAAAATCTTTCTTGAAAAAGAAGAACAAAGTTGGAAGACTCACGCTTTGCCAGTTTCAAAACTTACTACAAAGTTACTATACTCAACAGTGTTGTACTGTCATAGGGATAGATCTATAGATCAACAGAATGGAAATGAGAGCCCAGAAATGAATTCTTATATTTATGGTCATTTGATGACCATTCAATTGGGGAAGAATAGTCTTTTCAACGAAGTGTTGGGACACCTGGATTTCTACATGCAAAGGAATGAATTTGGATGCTTATCTCACACCATATACAAAAGTGAACTCAAAATGCATCATAGACATAAATGTAACAGCTAAAATGATAAAACTAGAAGAAAACATAATCCTCATGACCTTGGGTTAGACAGTGGTCTCTTACATATGACACCATAAGATAAAGCAACCAAACAAAAAATAAATAGGATTTCACGAAAATAAAAAGTCTTGTGCTTCAAAGGACAACATCAAGTGCAAAGACGACCCACAGAATGAGAGAAAACATTTGCAAATCTTATCTGAAAAGAAACTTGTATCCACAATATTTTTTAAAAACTCTTAAAATTCAACAATAAAAAATTTAAAATTTGTCTAAGAATTTGCATAGTCATTTCTCCAAAGAAAATGTACAAATGGTCAAGAAGCACATGGAGAAATGTTTAACATTTCTCTTAGTCATTAGAGAAATGCAAATCAAACCACAGTGAGATACCACTTCAGACTCATTAGGATGGCTGTAATCAGAAAGACAATAACAAGTGTTAGCCTTGTAGGCAGGAATGTAATATGGTACAGTCACTTTGGAAAACAGTTTGGCAGTTCCTCAGAATGCTAAACAGTTACCATGTGACTCATTAATTCCTAAAATAGTGGGAGTTATTGTAATACCCAATTTTGTAAATACCCAAAACAAATGTCCAACTGATGAACGGATAAACAAATCGTGATATATCCCATATAAGTACAACAAAAAGGAATGAAGTACAAATAGAGGATATAATATGGGTGAAAACATGCAAGTAAAAGAAGCCAGTCTTGTATGATTCCATTTATAAAAATATGCAAAATAGACCAATCAGTAGAAATAGAAAGTAAATCAGTGGTCCCCAGGGCCTGGGGAAAGTGAAGAATGGGGACTAATTGTTTATGGGTTCTGGGTTTCTTTTTGGGGTGATGAAATGTTTTGAAATTAGATATTGGTGATAATTGTATTATTCCATGAATACACTAAAAGCCTCTGAATCGTATACTTTAAGAAGATGAATTTTATGGTATATGAATTATATTCTAACCTGTTGGGGTTTTTTATTTTTATTTATTTATTTTTTATTTTTTTAAAGATTTTATTTATTTATTTGAGAGAGAGAATGAGAGAGAGAGAGAGAGCACATAAGAGGGGAAAGGGTCAGAGGGAGAAGCAGACTCCCTGCTGAGCAGGGAGCCCGATGCGATGGGGACTCCATCCTGGAACTCCAGGATCCTGACCTGAGCCGAAGGCAGTCACTTAACCAACGGAGCCACCCAGGCGCCCCTGTTGGGTTTTTTTAAATAACTATTCCACAAGGTATTTAATGATAAATATCAAAAAGAAGGATTTCATGTATTGGAGACAATTATCTCTAAGCTTGATGGTAGGTAGATTAAGGATTTATGAAAGGTGTGTTTGCACTGAGTGGCTTTTAAGGAAGGTGGAGATTTGGCTATGTAGCTGTTTCCAAAAGGAAGGGTTCTGAGTCATTTAAGACATAATCAGAAAGGCAGAATGGTTCCAGGTTAATGGGGGAGATCTTGAATGCCAGCATAAGGAATTCACTGCCGTGTTTGTTTCAGCTCTAGAAAGTTGATAAAAAAAGTGACGCACTGAGGAGCTGTGTATTAGAAAAGTTCATCAGTGTCAGAGTGTGGCATTATATGGAAAGGAGAGAGCTCACCTGTGTAGATACCCGTTAGGAGTCTGATGCATTGGGTTTGAGAAGGCTTTCCTTTTTAAAATTACCTAAAACTAATTACTTTGCGCTCTGGGCCTTCTGATACCAACTTGGTGAATTTGAAAGGCCTCACACACAGATGTTATTTTACTTCATTTCCTGGGAAAATGAATCATAGTTTCCTAGTAAAGAGCTGTCTGGGGGTGCTAAACAATAGTGTGCGGCCCATGCATGGCCAGTCCATTCATTTTGGTTCCTTTTTCTTCTGTTGCTCACCACCTGTGTTTTTGTTTTTATTTTTTTCTTTCCTGCCTTCCTTCCTGCTCCTAACTTGGTCTTCTGTCGCCCTTGCCTTCAGCTTTACCTCCCATCTGTAATCATGAGACAGTTTAGCAGAGAAAATTACCAATATTTCTTTATATAACATAAGGCTTGACATCAGCTGTAGGAGAAAAAAGAATGAAAACCTTTTTGTGAAGCCTATATGGAGGCATTAACATAGGCTATATCAATGAACATTTTAATGGAAAATGTACAAAATATGGTCTCATTTTGGGGGGAGTTTTATATAAAAATATAAATGTATAATATACACATATATAATATATGCATATATTATATATAAATGTAATGTAACAGTAACTGAGGTGTGAGAAGGCTCACTTTGAGAATTCTTTTAAGCCTCTAACTTCTTGATCTTACGAGGATCTCAGCATTCTTATTTATGACCTGTTAAAGTCTTTCCTAGAAGTTTGATGTCTCCTGATTTGGTGTCCTGAATAGCAAACTTAAACCCTGATTGTGCCTCCAGTACTGTATAATGAAATGGTCACCACACTCCTGAGATTTAGGGAACTAAAAGATAGTCACATTTTCAGAGGTTCCCAATGAGGCCATCTAACTAATACCTGCTATCTAATTTATCATTTCTGTTTTTTAAAAGATTTTATTTATTTTATTTGAGAGACAGAATGAGAGAGAGAGCACATGAGAGGGGGGAGGGTCAGAGGGAGAAGCAGACTCCCTGCTGAGCAGGGAGCCCGATGCGGGCTTGATCCCAGAACTCCAGGATCATGACCTGAGCGGAAGGCAGTTGCTTAACCAACTGCGCCACCCAGGCACCCTAATTTATCATTTCTACCAAACGTTCTTTTAATCTTGGATTACATTGAAAGGGGTATTTAAAAGATAGCCATAGCCGTGTCTGTCCAGGTTCAATTTTCCAGTATGAACAAACAGACTGTTAGGTGCACTGTGGGCATGAAGATGAAGTTATCCCAATGCAGAAGGAAGCCTTTTTCTTTAAAGAATTTGTCAGGTTTTTTTTTTTTTTTAAGATTTATTTATTTGAGAGAGTGAGAATGAGAGAGAGAGAGAGTACATAAGAGGGGGGAGGGTTAGAGGGAGAAGCAGGCTCCTTGCTGAGCAGGGAGCCCGATGCGGGACTTGATCCAGGGACTCCAGGATCGTGACCTGAGCCGAACGAAGGCAGTCGCTTAACCAACTGAGCCACCCAGGCGCCCCAGGTTTTGTTTGTTTTTATTTTGAGAGAAGTGTTAGTAGGGTAGCTAAAGGCAACAAGATGTGTGGCTGGGTTCTTTTGCTCTTTTCAGGTGAGACTGTTAATTTGTGTTGAGACCTAATATTGAAGACAAACCTGTGATATCCTGAGAGAAAGGAGGAAGTGGGAGTAAGGTAGGAGGAGGGGGTTAGACCAAGTAGTCAAGATGCCTACTTTTGAATCTTAGCTCTGTCACTTTGTTTTCCTGGACCAAGTTGCATCACCTTTCTGAGTGTGAGTTTTATCAACATAAAATGGGGACAGTTGGGAAGATCATACTAACTCATGAGAGGATTCATTCATGTTGTCTGATTTACTATAAATGCCAAGTCCTATGGAGACTTCACGGAGTTTACCATTCTTATTTTTCATATTTTGGTAATTTTTTTCAAAATTTCATAATTTTCAAAATGTTAATGATCTACCCAATAGTTTAAAACTTCCCGTTTGGCATAAGTATAGTTCTAGAGAGGTATAATGTTGTCGGTAAATTACTTAAAGTTTTTGAAACCTGGTTATAGCCGATACCCTGAAAATGGCAGTCAGTTGTAGTTTAGAAGTTTATGCTCGAGGTGGCGCTGTTTCCCCATAAATTTGGTGATGTTTTGCATTTTATCCCTATCTATTCCAAGTTAACCAAATAACTAGATATATATTTAGAACCGTCTCTGCCTGGCATAGTCCCCACACCTTCCCACCTGTGATACCCCACCCAATACCCTATCCTACATACACACACTTACCCATATTCACTATAACTTGTATATGACAGTTGGGTCATCATAAACTAGTTGACCGGTTATATTTTTTAAGACATTTATTACAATGATACTTTACAGTGTAGTGATTTCTTTTTGTATTTTGGATTTTTTTAGGTCTCAAATACATGAAAAGGTTGTAGGTTCCTAACTGAATAAAAGACATGATACAGTTCTTCCTCAAACTGATTTTAGTACAAGGAAAAATATCCATGCTGCACTTCATTTTTGCTAGTAATCCGTGTGAAGACCACCATATTATTTCCCACTTCTTGTCAGAAACTACAAATATATTTCACAGGTGTGGGCATTCTGAGTTTGATGTCAATTGTTTTGTTTTGTTTTTAGATCCGGGGATTTCTGTCGCGGTTTGATAATGTCCTTCCTGTCAGTCTGGCGTTTGACAAATGTACAGCTTGTTCTTCCAAAGTAAGTCATTCTGCATTTGAGGGAATTGTTTTTTAAAATGAACCTATTACCCTTGCCAGTGAGAGGCACTGAACCCAACTGAGGACTTTTTTGAGGGGGAGGAATAGGGTCTAAAAAATTGGAAGGGATTTGTCATTTATGTGTATTCATTCTCACAGGGAAACCATCCTGAAAAAGTTTTATTTATAGTGTACAAAGAGAGACTGAATTAGATATTGTGGTTCTGTATCAATACTTGCATCACAATAATTTGAATGTGAACTTCACTAGGTTTTGTTCCTCCCCAGAGGAACCTTGCTCACATAGACCATTATAGAGCAATTTTTAAGTGTTCCTTAGAGGAGGGGGATACCAGGCAGTCCTCGTGGTTTGTCTTGGAGATCTACATAATGACAAAAAAGTAAACAGATTAGGGGCCTGGCTAGGGAGCCATAAAAGAACCCCTTCAGCTTTGATCTTTCCAGAGGCTCTAAAAATAGAGCTGGTATGTCTTCCATTGTAATGGGAAACGGCTGATGTATCTCAAAACTAGTGATGACATCTCATTTTTTAATAGACCTAGAGATAGTCTGAGTTGTTTGTGCTTGTATACTGTGTGTTTATAGCTATTTTTTCTTTTGTATGCCTCTAAGCCATTGATGACCAGTGATTTAACCTGGGCTTTTAAAACTAAAGCTTCTTGGTAAAATTTTCATGTTCAAGTGTTATGCAAAATAGTGTTGGGGTTATTAATCCCAAACTCTGGCCTCTCACTTCTAATTCAGGACTTCTTTGCCGTGGAGCCTACATCTGGCAGTATGGAAGGGATTGAATTCTGGGGAAGCTTTTTTTTTTAAGATTTTACTTGGTCATATCCTATGAGAAGCACAGTCCTAACCAGTCTAAAAACTTAACTCAAGATTTGAGAATGCTGATAAATTTGGTTAATTTTAGGTGCTGAAACATTTAGAGTAATTTTTTTTCTTCAAAAAATAAACTAAGCTGTTTTATCATTATGCATCCCAAGTGTCAGCCTTGAGATTTAAAGCTTACCGTTTATCAGTAGTTACCCACGAGCTCATTCTTTTTGTTGTCTCTCTGAGGTATCATATCTGTTCAAGTCAAGGCCTCAAGGGTGTCTACTTCTGTCTTCAGAAATGCAAGTTTTAGGATTATATGCTTTTTAGTGAGCACTTTTTTTTTTTGAATGGCTCAGCTAATTGGTCTCAAAATAACTTGGCAGTATTAATTTTCATACTGAAATCATTTGGCACAGGTGCCAGTTTTTCTGTGGCTTTATGTAGATCAGGCGTCTCAATGAAATAAAGATAATTGGGTTCTGTAAGTGAAATGCAAACACTCATTCTTTCTTCTCGTTCTAATTAAATTAGCCCTTGAGATACTGTTTATGAAAGAATCAGAAGCATACCAGCTAACTGAGGTCCCCTCTATTCTTTGAAAGAGAATCACTTTGCATTTTTCTTTCACACTGATTGTAAGCATTAAACTAAATATAGGTATCACTTTTTTGTTAGTGAAGTTAATTCCTCTTGATGGTCATTCTGAAAGTCCTGCTTTACATAAACATGCTAGACGACTTAATACAAACGGCCTTGGATTTTAACAGCTGTGCTATTCCCATAGCGATCACTTTTCATGTGGTCTGGGTATTAAATTTCTTTTGTGCTGAAAAGGTTGCTTCACTGGTGCACGTATTTCCTTACAGTAGAAACACAGCATTTACTTACTTGGCTAACTTCTTTATTCGCTTAGGAGAATGTCATTCTCTATTATCTGCAAACCCAACATTAATACTTTGAAATGACAAATCCAATTACAGTTTCATCTCTGTGCATGTGAATTTTTCTTAATGCATCCTTAGCATAATATTTTTATACTGAGTCATATCATAGTTGTTACTGTTTCAGAAAGATTCTTTGTGGCTAAAAATGACTTTTTAAAAATTCTCCTTTGATATCCATGAAGTAATTTTTTCCTTTGGTAGTTTTTGGTATTTTGCCTCCTCCCCCTTCCCCTCCCAGGACCAGGGTCATACCTGTATCTAATTTAACACAAATACAGAGAGAAAGATGGGGGAGATAGAATAAGCTCTGCTGAGTAATAATGCTCTGTTCGTTACTGTATTTATATATATGTATAGACCTTTTATAAGGCCTGGGGTAGGGTAGAATGCAGTTCTCTACTGTGTCAGGGAAGGCCGAATCATCTACACACAAGTCATTTCTTATCTTGTTTGGTTTTAACTTGGCATGTAACCAGATGAATTGTTCCATCTTACAGAAAAAATACTGAAGAATCTGGAGGGAGTAGGGTAATGAAGAGGTATTTTCATTCCAATTTCTGTTTATTGTCTTACAAGACTTGATCTTAAAATGATGGTATCTACCGCACAATTTCAAAAATCTTATTTGAAGCTATATGAGTTGTTTTTAGTTCTAAAAAGGAATTTAGAGCCAACTGAAGCTTTTGTGAATTGCTAGCAGAGGAAAAAATAGAATTTAAAACCAATATTCTTGAAAGAATTTCTCATAATACATTGAATTAGTTATTATTAGCCTTTCATCTAAATATTGGGGAAATTAAGGTATTTTTTGGTAACTTTATTTTGATATAATTTTATACTTACAGAGAAGTTGCAAGAATAATACAGAGAACCTCCTTGTACTCTACCCAGATTGACCAGTTGTTTGCATTTTGCCCCATTTGTATATGTGTGTACTCCCCTCCCTCCCACCCTGCTTCCTCCTCCCCACCCTTCTCTTTTTCTTTCAACTTTGAGAATAAGTTGGAGAAATTGTGGTCCTTTCCAACTAAATATTTCAATGTGTATTTCCTAAGAAAAAGGATATTCTCTTACCCAAACACAAGATATTTTCAAATTCAGGCAGTTTAATGTTGCCACAATACTGTTTTCTAATCCACAGTCTACATTTTAAATGTTGTTATTTGTACCAGTAATGTTCTTTATAGGTTTTTTCTCCCAGACCAATTCAGGATCCAATTCAGGATCAACCATGCATTTAGTTGTCATATCTCTTTGGCTTCCCTCAATCTGGAAAAGTTCCTTAGCCTTTCTTTGTCTTTCTTAACCTAAATATGCTGATATTTTGCCATTTATTTTGTAGCATTTCCCTCAACTTGATTTTGTCTAATGTTTATGATTAGAGTCAGGTTATGAAACTTCGGCAGAACTACCAAAGATGTGATGATGTATCTTCATGTTAGGAGGCACATGATGTATTTTATCCCCTTTGGTGATGTTAATTTCCCCCTTTCCATATTTTTAACTACCTTTCCCAACCGTGAGAACCTGACTCTTATTATCCTGCATATATTTACTCACTTGCTCAAGTCTAAAATATACAGAAAGTAGTTTCAAAATTGCTAGCTCATACCACTGCAGAAAATCAACCTACTAATTAGAGTTCGATTTTTGTGCATGGTTCTTTTTTGCTAGGTAAAATTTATATACAGTGGAAGGCATGAATCTTAAGAGAAAACAATTCTGTGGGTTTTGACAAATGTATACATGCGTGTAACCCACATTTCAGTCAAGATTTAGAATGTTTCCATCAACCCAGGAAGTCCCTTGTCTCGCCCTTACCAGACCATCTCGAGGAAGGAGGACAATATGTTGAATATTGTGACCATTTTCTTTGCCATAAGGGGTAAAGCTAGGCACCTTCTGGTATTTTATGCAACAGTAGCCTAATTCTCAGTCCCAGAAGTTGACTAGAAACTTTTCTCAAATCTGTAGTGGGAGCAGGGCTGTGCCTGAGGCGACTGCATGTGGATATTCTTCTTGTTGCACAATCTGTCACCCACAACCTTTGTGATACTGCAGGAATAGCCTTGCATGAAGAAGCAGGCCCAGTCTTGGTTTTCATACCATCTGGGACCTGCCTACTGCACAGATGTAGCAAGCTGCGCCCAGAAACCTGATCTGGGGATTTTAATTAGCAAGTAGCAACTCTAATAATACACTTCGGTGTTTACCATGCCATGGGCTCTTCTGTTGATGGGTCATGATTAAACTTCCCACAGTGACTTGCTATGAACTTTTTGTGTGTATCTGTATGTGTGCCTTGAGTGATAGAGAAGGTATAGGAATAATACACTTTGGCTGGTATCCTCATGTAGTAAATTATATGGTTTTTTGTGGGGTTTTTTTTTTTTTGCCAACCTGTTCATTTTTTTTTGATATTATGTAATCCTAACGTTTTTCTATCCCATTTCTTTGTTACATAAGAAGTATGAAATAACAGTACTCACTTTGTAGCTATTTAAACTTTTAGAAAAACCTCTGTCCCAAAGCAATCTGTTACCTCAGGTTCTACAAATGCACCCTTTTGAGGATAGAAAGGCGAGTCCTAGATATGCAAAAAGAGGTTAAAATCTTGCTGTATGGCTGTTAGCAGGTATTCATTTATTCAACTGCCATTTGAGTCCCTGCTGGGTGCTAGAGATACAAAGATGATTAAAAAGAATGCTATTTAGAGGATGCGACAGACCTGTAAAGCAGCAGTGATCTCCCTTATATAGTGATATGCTATGCAGTCAAGGTGCATCTTCTTGTTGTGGTGTCCTAGTTCCCATTAGTTTTTCAAATCAGAGAGACCAGGGGTGGCATTGCAGAAGGGGACTTCTGAGTTGATGTTAAAGGGTGAGTAGGAATTTCTAGAAACACACAGGAGATAGAACAAGAGGGGAAGTCACCGTAGAGGGGAATTGCATGAACAATAGCCAGAAGAAAGAAAACATGGTACATTTATGCAGTTGTTCAGGATAGCAGTTGTGACAGAGCATCAGACATCCAATTCCCTATGAACTGTCCTCGCTGTTAGGTGCCATTTCAATTTCGGCTGTTCTTGAGTTGGAATCTAGTGTACTTTGTCTAACATTTGAGGCTGCTGTTTTGAATTTTACAATTCCATATAAAATTGTTTCTCACCTAGCACCAAGCTTAGGGGGTTTCCTAGCCTAAGGAATCCTACAGCTGC